GGGCCGCATCAAGTATTCCACCACCGCGGTGGGGGTGGGCCGCTCATCCGGAGGTTTGAAGGCCACAGGGCCCCTCCCCCGTGCCCCACCCGGCCCGGCAATTGGCCCGCGGGCAGCGAGTTTGAGACCCCTGCTTTAGTGTGAGGCTCTGACAGGAAGCTACCAAGTTGGCAAACTGAATGTCACCCCTAACTTGGGCTTTGGACTGTTGCGGACTGTCTCCCCCATTGCTGAAAGCGATGGTCTCTCTTCAGTTGTTTTGGCAGGACTGTCAAAGCAGCCACACCTGCACTGATGGATTTTCTTTCCTTCCTTCCTTCCTTCCTTCCTTCCTTCCTTCCTTCCTTCCTTCCTTCCTTCCTTCCTTCCTTCCTTCCTTCCTTCCTTCCTTCCTTCTTTCTCTCTCCCTCTCTCTCTCCCTCCCTCCCTCCCTCTCCCGTTCTGGCTGAATCTCGGTTTACATTTGCACTCTGCATATTGATGTGACATGCCTGCCTCTTGCGTTGCTGGGCCTGCTGCCCTCCCTTTATAACAACACCCCCTTTCCTCCGTGTGCCTGTGGTGCATGCATTCCATTATGGCACACACAGGCATCGATGGCGTGCAAGCTTTTGTCCCTCTTAAAATGAGCAGCAGCATCCAAACACTTTGGAGGCAGTAGCTATATCGATGCTTCTCACCCTCGGGGCGGTTTGAGCTGTGCCCCAATAATGTAAATCATCTCTCTGAAGAAACACTGCACATCTCCCTGGAAGCCTAGTTAATGAGGCCTGTCCTCCTACTGGCATTATGAGATGTGGTGGGTGCGTTTTTCCTTCAGCTCAAAATTGGCTCAGTGTGATGCTTTGGGTAGAGAGCTGCTCCCTGGGTATATCCTGCGTTGCCGCCCAGTTACATAGTCCTGCAGAGTTTTCTGTGGGCAAATGAAAGCCACCTGCCCCTATCTTCCCCAGGCCATCTACATGCTCAACCTAGATTTTGTTTCTTCACATCCCATTCTGATAGCCTTGTCTATGGACAGGATAGCTTAGTCCAGGGACAAGGATTGGTGTAGCCTTCAAGGTGTTGTTGGACAGCAACTCTCATCATCCCATACTACAGGCTATGCTTCCCAGTGCAGATGGGATCCTACAACATCCAGCGGGCTGCACCCCATCCCAGCCTAATGCCAAGTAGGGTTTCTGTATGTGTCCCTCCATTCCTGCCCTAAAGGCAGTGCCAGGGCTGCAGCAGAGGGCAATACTTGTGATGCTTCTGGGTTGGAAGGTGAGTAGTTTAACTGCTCTTCAGGGGGCAGAGACCACTTCTAGTTGGGGGAGGCATTTCCTCCAAGAGTAGCAATGGCTTCAGTTTAGATGCATGAGAGAACCGGGATAGAGATGACAGTGAGAAGTAGAGCTCTCATTCTTCTCCTTTATTATATTCAGTAGATTTCAGTTTTTAAATTTGTTCATGGGCAAAGCAATCTGTACTTGGATCAGATTGGAAGGTCACTTCAGATAACGGTTTTGAGGCATTTCAGGGGAGGAAGGGAGGGGACTGGAAATGCCAAGATACTGTGCGTTTTGATGGTTCCTCAGCCTCCTTCCCTCCTGTAGGGTGAGGCAGGCAGAAGTTTCTGCATGTCTGCTGCCCTATGTAAGATGCCCATAACCTTCCTAATTTGGTGAGTTATAGGCAGTCTCATTAGATTAAGCCCTAAATGGTTTAGAGTAGCAAGTACATTTGATTATATGAACCACATTTACAGTCATGCCCTAATACACTGTTTTTGTTTTCTGCAGGGCAAGAAGAAAGATAGGAAACATAAAAATCTGTGGTTTGTGTGCAGCTATTCAAGAGCTGTTGTGAGGGCCAGGGAAATCAATCAAATTGCCCCAAACCCAAGTGCTGCATTACATTGGGATAATATACTCAGTTTTACCTCTAGAACTTATTAAGTTTTGTTACTATCATATGAGGCTGCCTGCCAGACTCGTAGCTGCACACCCGTGGGAAATAAGTAGCAGCCCTGGGGCTAAAACGGGACCTTTTTCGCTTCAAGGTACTGGTGTGTTACCAGTGCTGATTCCACCATGACAGTTCATCAACACAGTGTGGCAATCAATCACAGTTGCCCTATAGCAGCCCAACCTGGCACACTCCAGATATTCTGAATTTCATCTCTCATCAGCCTCAGCCAGCATGGCCAATGGTCAGGAATGCAAGAAGTAGTCATCAAAAGCAACTGGAGGGCTGTCAGTTGGAGAAGGCTGCTCTACAGAAAAGCCACCCAGTCCTAGCAAGGGCCATGCACCAGTAACTGAACAAACAGAACAGGGGAAGGATTTGTAAGAATACCTTAGGGTTAGGTACATACCAGCCACACAGCACAAGCACGAACATATGAAAGATTAGGTCTCATATTTAAGAACAGAAATGTGCAAGTTAACTAGCGCAAGTACAATAACCAGGCATTAACGGGTTGGCCATAGGAAACATGCTCCTCCGTTTGCAGCTCACCATGACCCTGCTGCCCCGATTATGTTCCCTTTGCCAAGTCTTTGTTTGTAGAAGTCAGCCTATAATTAGAAACCATGGTTGCAATACACTTCCAGCATGGGTTGGAGGCAAGATTCATTACACCTGGCAGTAGTAAAGGGAATCGGTACATCCAAAGGAAAGTGATTACACTGGCAATGAATGCTGAATGGCCAGGGACTGTTTGAAGTGGGTGATACCATGCTCAAGCTACATGATACATCTTAGCTTCTGTAATGGTAGCAGATGATCTTGTGCCACGCAACTGTATACATGTACCAGTTGTTGACAGGAACAGGTAGTATCCCAGGAGGGGGAAGAACCCTACTGTGGACAATATCACTTTCCTCTAGGAGGAAAACAGGTGGACATTATAAAGAGATTTTCCTGAAAGAACCCACCACATACACATCTCCATGAATCACTAGAAATTTGCAGAGAAAAAAAATGTGTTACAAGATATAGACCAACCTGTATTTCCATTACTGTTTCTTTCAACATACTACCCTTTTTAATAGCACAGTAGATGCAGGTGACTACAGAATGCATTGACTGAAGGATGAAAGTATAGTTAGGCCCAAAGCCTGGAGGCGTGGTGCAGAAATGACAGCGTCGACACTTGCCAGCCCGCCACCCTATTCTGACTCAGCAGAACGCTAACTTTATTTACATGCTTTCCCTTTCGGACATGATAGCCAGAAAGTTTTAAAATGGCAATTTGCAGAATTCTGATGCAAATCAGATACAAACAGCTGTACTTCATAGTCCATGAGTTCATTACTAAGTTTCTAATCCCTCTAGCCTTAAGTTATGCTTATGACTTGCATATAACTTCAAAGTGCTTAGCTATTTTCCATCCACCCACGGCAGGATGACAAGTGGGAGAGAAGAGAACCTGACCTACACCTCCCTTTGGCACCCTGCATAAACAAGGCTCATTTTTCCTTCCGCCTGACCATCCGAACTACTGCATCGAGTTAGAGTGAAGGACATATATATTTCTATAAATACCTCTAGTTTTAATAAAAGAGGATATGTATGCTCAGAGCTGTTCCAACAAGGTGTTAGATGGAAACCTGCCTCTTCTCTGTCCAGTCCGGAGAGCCATTGAGGAACACGAGGCCTGCACATGACAGCTGGCCTAGAAACATTTCTGCTTCATGGAATGCATTCCTTTGGGATTAAGCAAGCAAGGTAGCACATGAGAGGCTAACACAGAACAAATCATAAGGAAACTGTTCAGTAGTGCCAAAGCATTTTCATTTTACTTTCCAAATCCCATCTACCTACAGCTTTATCAAAGTAAAACCTTCAAGAGATAGGGGCAGTCCCTGAGCAGTTTTCCCGCATCTTCTTCTTTGGTTAAAAATGGGGGAGATTTGCACTGAGGTCACAGCACAGGAGAGGGGTGTTAACAACCTTCCATTCCTATTTTTCATGATAGTCATTGAGTGGGACACAGGTGCCTAGATTGTACCTGCCTTTCTTTCTTTCTCTTTTTTGCCTAGGTGGGACATTTTACTGCTTCCTGGCCCTGGCCCTGAACCTCACCCAGGGTCCTCATATTGAACTTCCTATCCGAATAAAAGGGAGTTCTTCTACCTTTCTCATCTAAACTGACGCAAATCAGGGTAAAACTCCAACCACTTTCTGATCCTTGTGTTAACTCCTGGAATTCTTCCAGGAGGCAAGAAAAGGCAGCTAAGATACTGGGCTGTTTCCAAGCATGTGCCTCTTGGGACCCCATCAGGCTTTTGTCTTCAGCTGTTGCTGTACAAGGAGCCAGATCAGTCACTGGCTTGGTGTTGTTTAGAATCAAGACAGACAGAAGCAGATAAGATGACCTCCTGAAGATTAAAGTAACCATTTTAGCCAGAGTAATACATAGGAACAGAGCTACATTACAGAAGGGATCAAGTCGATCAATTAGTTCTATTTGTCCAGCCAATGCTTCCAGCAGAAATTTCCATCTATTCAGACTCAATCTATTGCTTATTTCTCCCTCCTACTAGCAAAGACCAAATGTTAATAGAAAAAAGCAGCAACCTATAGAGAACCCTTTACCTAATAAGCAATCACTTGGAAAAAAATCCGTTGTTTGATTCACAGAACACCTTAATGACTTTGACATATTTCCACTGCTAAAGGAATTTGGTCAATGTTTTTCACTTAGCCATCCATCTGATATTAAACACAAACCTATTTACTGGCAAGGATAATGACTGGAAAAATAGAATCCAGCTTTGTCTTGTCTCTACTCCCATCTGAACATTCTGCTTTTTCTCTTCCCCTATTTAGAAAACATGTGGTCAGACCAGCTCTTTCAAGTTGGACTACTAACCCATCTACCAGCCTTAGGCCATGCTCTACAACAGAAAGCCCTCTGGAGTCTCTTGCTATCATCTAATAAAAGCAGAGGAAAACGGAGCCCCTTGCAAGTCCATGACATGGGAAAAGGAGGCTTCAGAAGTCACAATTCCTTCAAATCTTTAGCATCTCCTCCAACAGAGATTTAATTCAAACATGAGACAGACACATCCCAACTTAGTTAGGATCATTTTGTTACAAAAGGAAAAAAATAAAGAAAATAGCAGGACTCTCCTATGAAGACACCAGCCTGCATTATGTCCCAGGCAAAAGTCTGTGTTCCTATAAAGAGACCAATAGAGTCCCAGAAGTTCCACCCAGTAGTCATCATCTACATGTTGCTCCATAAGATGAAGAGGAAGTATGAGTCAGCAGTGGTTCCCCCATCCTTGTGTCTCTTCCTTTTCCCAGCAACTCTGTAGCGCCTCCCCAGAGAGCTCTTTACATCATGCTTCTTGGTAGGACTTTACCGGAGGCTGCTACTGCTGCTGGCTTGAGAGCTCCCCACCCCTGGATGTTCAGGGCTATGCCGGTTCTGCAGAAAAACAACAAACACACATGAGAATGGACATTCTAAGGAGAATGAACAAGTGCCATGAAGGCATTTTAGACCAGCAAAGACCTCAGACCAAGATCTGAGCAGGTTCTTAGCTTTATTTAGTTCTCCTCTACCTGCTTCAAATGCTGAGTTTTGCAGTGGAAGCATCCTCCCCAGCTTACCTTCTTTTTCTTCTTCTCCTTCTTCTTTCTTTTTCGCTCAGGATCATCCTCTTTCTTCTTTTTCTTTTTCTTGTGGTCAGAATCTGAGGGAGTTTCTGCCAAGAAGAGAAATAACCAATGAAGTTGCCTTCACTGTGAGTGGGACAGGACTGCTAGAGTTAAGACAGTGCATTGTGAACCCAACAACAGAACTGTTATGCGATTTTTTTTTTTTTACCGAAGGACTTGGGTATCATGTAAAGGGCTTGCTATGGGTTGCTGCTTAGGCTTTTTAGCTCCAAGTGCCAGACCGTGGAATGCTCGACGGGGCAACACACCCACAACACCCAAAGAGTGAGCTTCTTACCTGGAGGGACAGGATCCTGAGTACGGCTCTGCTTGTGTTTGTGCTTATTTTTTTTCTTGGGTGGCTGGATGTGCATTAGGCGGCACTGCTCTGGTAGCTGAGGCAGCACAAAACAAAAACAAAGAGGCATGTTACTACACTGAATACCTCTTCTGTGGCCAAGGGTAACCACAGGTGCAATCACTCAATGGGGCTGTAGCTCTGCCGGTCTAGTTCTACTGTTGTCCTCAATCATAATTTGCAGGAGGAGGTTGGTACTAGGTTCATCTTAGTTCAGTCCTTATGCACAGCTGTTCTGAATCCACTGAGTTTCATTCCTTGTACACCAACTTCTCAAATTCAGCACTGCCAAGTTTTCATTGATCGATGCTGTTGCTGGCTCGGGCTCCCAGCCCCCTCCCAGCCCCCTCCATACCTGTTTTGGTGACACCTGGGCTAAGGAAGAACGCACAGGGCTGCACTGACAAACTCACTCACTGTGCTGTGGCAAATGTGAAGAGTAACACCATCCTCTCATGCTCCAGAGCAGGAAAGGTAGGTGGGGGAGTTTGGATGCTGCTGCTCAGAAGTGAGCAGTGCTCCTCCACATTCATTCATTCATTCATTCATTCAGAATATTTATATGCCGTCCTGTCACGAAAGCCTCAGGATGGCTTACATAAACTAATAATAATATAAAACAAAATACAAATGAATTTGAGATCCATTCTGGCTGCAGATTAAAAACATATATAATCCAATAATAAAAGTTATTAAAATATTGTTGGAATAAAAAGGTCTTAACCTGGCACCGAAAAACAAATAACGATGGAGCTAGGCAGACCTCTCTGGGGAGCGCATTCCATAGGCGGGGCGCCACTGCAGAGAAAGCCCTCCTCTGGGTACTTTGCCTCCTAATATCTTTCACGGAGGGTTCCCGGAGGAGGGCCTCTGCTGCCAATCTCAGGGGGCAGGAGGGCAAATACGGAAGAAGGCTTTCCTTTAGGTATCCAGGTCCCGAGCCGTTAACACCATTGCCTAAGCAGCCACTCTCTCACCAACTTTTCTCGATGGGAAAGACCAAGCAGATTGGGCAATGCCAGTCAGAGGTGCCCGAATGGTCAAGCACACCCAATTAACTCTCCACCTACTCCAAGATGGTCTCAGTATGCCACAAAAGCAGCCCTGTTCTTGCTCAGAATGCGGCATTATGGAAGAATGAGCAAAAACCATTTCTTTGACAACTGTACTAGGGAATATTCAGGTATGAGAGGTGGGAGGGATGATAAGCTTGGTAAAAAACACTCTCCTAAAGCTTTCTACATGACAGGGAAACTACCCTTCAAGAAACATGACAAGTGGTTTCTCTGGATTTCAGGCAGGAATTATCTCTTAACAGCTGCTCTGCAACATGGAACAGGGAAGCATGCAGTACTTTTTTTCCATGACCGGTGCTCTGCCATTCTCTGCTTCAAATCTCTCCTACCTACCAATATCTAGTTCAATGGTAAAGATGGATCCCATGGTGCTGAATTGAAAGGCTGCTCCCATGATGCACAATGATCCATATATTGTCTCCCGGGAACTTATTTTATCTGGCCAGGGTGACTTATTTTATATTGTTAATTTGTTGTATATTTGTATGTATTATATTTTAATTTTATGTTGTGAGCCGCCCCGAGGCTTCGGCGAATGGGGCGGCATAGAAATGTTTTAAATAAATAAATAAATAAATAAACTCATTTTTCATGAAAACTGCATCTCCTTCAGGTCTCACCACAGCTTTGACAAGTAGAATATATAGAGTAGTATATTTTAGTCTTGATATAATTGTGCTTTTCTCCATTTGATAATCAAAATTTCTCTCTCCCACCCCATCCTCTGTTCACCTACCTCCCCAAATTAACTCACCGGGCCTGCATGGAGACGAAAACCTGTCAGCATGGTACCAGTGATGGGGTTGAATGAGCTCCCACAGATGGGGGGCTTTTCAATTAGAGAACGCAGGCTGCTGTTGTCATGAGAGCCTGGTAAGTCTATCATTCCTGGCAGATCTGGTAGAAAGTTGCTGAGCTTTTCCTTCACCTTTTTGCCACAAAATTTGTTGTAAGCATGCTCCAGATTGTAGTGGGTGATCAGGTTTGTACTTCCTGTTAGTTCAGTGGTGCCTGACAAGGAACAAAAACATTGCATCATAGACTATGATTGTCTTGTCTGAAGTAACAACCCAGGAGCAGACCAAGTTTGGCAAGCAAAGCCCTCCGAACCTTTCAGAACTTCAGTTTTTGCAACCAAGTCCTCTTTGCAGATGGCAAGAATTTTTTCTCTTCTGTACCACCAGAAATGCTTTCAGTGAAGCCAGATAAAGATATTTCAGTCAAACCATTACCCTGATTTTTGAAGATGAAGTGGCACTTTTCATTACGCCTTCAGTGAGGCATCTTGGAAATAAGTCAAACTCCATAATACCATACATCTGTACTCCAAATTGGCCCTTTACATTCAGTGGAGCGTACTTCCAGGTTAGTGTGCATAAGAACTTTCACCATTAACAAGAAGATCTATATGAGCCCTTGAGGGCATGAGGCTTATTCTCCAGGGGTGCACAGCTGCACATATTAGAGAATAACCCTTATTAAACTTCAGCAGTACTTAGAAGGACACGTGCAATAGGATGCTTTGTACAAGCTGTAGTCCGCTTCCCTCAGCCGGGGCAACAGATATGGGCCAGACCATCGCACTGCAAGGAATAAGGGGATGGGAGGCTCCGTGTTCAGGATCAACGAAACGGATTGGGATCAGGGAAGGAAGAGAGCAGGTGGGTCAAATTCCACCCCAGCTCCCAGAGCTGTAACTCCAAATACACCTACTCTGGAGTAAGTCCCATTCAATTTAATGGGAGTTACTTCAGAATAAATCCGCAAGGATTACCCTGCGCTTTTCAACAATGAACTTCAGCAATTTCCGGTTTGGCAGCGCCAAATACTGGCAGGCGAGCTGAACCCGCCTCCCGGAGCTCTCTTTGTTCCTCACTGGCTCCAGGAGCTGCCCATCGACCTCCGTCACTACACACTACACTTCCGCCAAGTCGCGAGCTTCGACAGTTGCTGGGACTAAATTCCCACGGAGATCGGGGAAGTGCCCATCTGGGGCGGCCGGGCTACTTCATTCGACCATCCTCCCGTGACGCTACTAACCCTGCTAGCCGGTATTGGCCAGGCACCCAGTGCCCTCCTCTAAGCTCCGGCTGGCCCAACCCCCGGAGCCCGCCTCCAACAGCCACTACCTGGTAACTCCCGCATTAGGTAAAAAGGGCCGCTGGCAGTCGCCGCTTTGCGCGCCGCCTCCTCTCCGACAGGAGTCACCGCAGGGACGGGAGGCGGCCCAGTCCCGGGTCCGCCCGGTTTTCCCGGACCAAAGCCTAGCGCGGCGGCTGCGCTAGGCGGAGGAGGGTCTGTCCCTCCGAAGAGAGCGGAAAAATTCTCCATCATCCCGGCGTGCTCCGCGCAAACTCCTCCCATTGGCTTCTGCTCTTGGCGATCCTTTAAGTTGGCCTTGCTTTCATTGGAGAATAGTAAACCCTCCTCTACGTGTGATTGGCTACTTACCCTGGAAACTCGCCCCTATTCCGGTTGGTTGTTTAGGACGTCAATGACGCAATTTTACCTAGTTTTAGTACGTCAATAGAACGCGTCGGGGATCTAAAATATTCCCTTGTTTGTGTTCCAGCTAGCCACAAGTGATTTTAGAAACAACCAATAAAACTACGGAATTCCCCCTTAAGCTCCGCCTCTTCCTTGATTGACGTTTGTAGCGGCCTATGAGTCTGAAGGAAGGAACGACTCTCCCTGTTACAGGCGTGCGGTGGGCAGTGCAGAGTCGGGGCTCGGTCAGTGTGAGGTGAAGATGGCGGTGTTGGCCCCCTTGCTGGCCCTGATCTACTCCGTGCCGGGAATCTGCCGCTGGCTAGCCCAGCCCTACTATCCACTCTCGCTCCTGTTGTCGGCTGCATTCCTGTTGGTGCGGAAGGTGCCACCGCTATGCCACGGGCTGCCCAGCCAGCGGGAGGACGGGAACCCTTGCGACTTTGACTGGGTGAGACCCTGCGCGGCGGCCGTGGCCTCTTTGCTGCTTGCCTGCCTCATCTTTCCTTCTCGGCTCGCAGCGGGGGGAGGGCTGCTTGCAGAAGGCCCCGCGCCTCGTCCCCTCCTTTGCCCGGACACATTTGTAGAGCTGGGGCCTCCACGTGGACTCCTTAGTCAAGGATTTCGTGGAAGACCCCCAGCTATGAGCTCCTCCTGCACACCTTTTTTTCTCGCCGTCTTAAGTGAATTCCGCTCACTCTTTTTATTAGTAAGATTGATGGCTTTTTGGTGGTTTCATGACTTAACATTCAAATGACTCGCTTGTTTTTAATATTTATCTTGAACCCTGATCGCTCATGCTGCCATGTAGAGTTTCTTTCTATTGTTGAAGTTGTAGAAGGACTGTCTGATCATCAGAGCAATTTAATTGTGGACACTTGTTCGTAGGTGGACACTTCAAAAAATGTCGAGGCAGACATCTGTTGGGAATACTTTGGAAGAGAGCCAGGGTGGTGTAGTGGCTAAGAACATGGGACTGGGACTCAAACAACCTGGGTTCTAGTCCCCGCTCAGCCATGGAGCCAACTGGGTGACTTTGGGCCAGTCACAGACTCTCAGCCCAACCTACCTCACAGGGTTGTTGTTGTGGGGAGAAGATGGAGGAGGAGATGTAAGCTGCCTTGAGCCCTTCGTAGGAAAAAGGCAGGATATAAATCCATAGATAGATAGATAGTGTTTCAAGCCATTTGGCTTCAGCAATTCATTGGGTGATCTGATTCTGTGGATATATAATTTCACGGGATACCCATTACAAGTGGAAAGATTAACACATGAATGAGCTGCACTGGCTCTTGGGGCTGATTTGTATTAAAATTGATAATTATTAATAAAAATAATAACTATGAGTTAACCCAACACTCCAGATCCCTAGATGTTTAGTGGTGATAGTTATATATTAATAGCTGTAAAGCTCAGTTAGCACAAGCTTGGTGATAGGACTGTATCAGAGACATGATCAATGCTAAAATAATATTTGAACTGCTACAGTAATTAATAAAATAGCAAGTTACAAGTTGCTATTGGAGGGAAGAATGTATTCCATCCAGACTTCCCCAAAAGGTGGCTACCATTCATCAATTATTGGAGTAGGTTTCAGCCAGGTGATATAGCAACTATGGATATACTAGATCTCTGTTAAGTTATTGTATTGGAAAAGTAAATTAATAGCTGCATGATGAAAAAGAGTTGGCCCTAACTTGCGCATGTGCTAAATAATGAAAATGGCATAAAACACAACCCTGTGAATGTTTAGTGTGGCTGCTGGGAGCAGCAGACTATTTTCTATCCATGCATGCCTATTATTGCACCTTTCATCTTATCAAACTAACCCAGACTCTTGCAGTACCCTTAAAACTGATTGTGGCCTAAGCTTTTATGGCCCAGAATCTTTTTCAAAGCACATTCTAAATTTATCACATGTTCAAGACTTATCTAAGTTTGCAGCCACAAACTATGGCCACTCTTTTGGTATTTGTCTCATAAAACAATTGAACATTTGAGCACAGTGTTTATATAGGAGTCCATTAGTTTCTTCAGTGAAAAGATTATTTTAGTTACAAATGTCCTGCACTTATTTAAAACATTTCTATGCCGCCCCCATTGCAACAAAGCCTCAGGGCGGCTCACAAAGAATACATAAAAACATCCATAACTAATAATAATATAACAATTTAAAAGAAAAACAACAACAACAACATTTAAAAACCCCCGGTGCATTATTGGCTAAAAATTTTAAAATACTAATTAATACAATAATTTCGCAATTAAAATAAGTTTTAAATAAAAAGGTCTTAGCCTGGCGCCGAAAAACAAATAATGACGGCGCCAGGCAGACCTCTCTGGGGAGTGCATTCCATAGATGGGGCGCCACCGCAGAGAAAGCCCTCCTCTGGGTACTCACCGTCTTAATATCATTCACAGAGGGTTCCCGGAGAAGGGCATCCGTTGCTGATCTCAAGGCGCGGGAGGGCATACTTGGAAGTTACTTCTGCATAAATAGTGTATTGTGTGGTGACAAGACTGCAAATAGATTACGTGCATTACTTAAATGCAAAATAAGTCTGAATGTAGTGTCACTTAAACATTTACTCTGCTTTTATTGGCCTTATTGAAACCTTTTATCATTCACCTGCTTACTTTATGGCCCTGGAAGCTCCAGGCAACTACAAAAATTTTTCTACTTACAACCAAGTCTGGTCAGTTTGATAATGAAGTAGTATATAGCAGCAGGGGAAAAAGATGGCACCTGCTCTCTGGATAGATAGATCTTTTATTCTCTTGTTTGTACTGCTACTCAAAACCCTGTCTTTCTTTTAGCGGGAGGTAGAAATCCTGATGTTCCTCAGTGCCATTGTAATGATGAAGAACCGCAGATCCAGTGAGTAATGCTTTTTGTTGTTTTCTGGAGTAAAACTTATTCCCTCAACAAAGATTCACAATTTGGATCGTACCACTTTTGAAATATTCAGAGGAAAGAAACTTCAGCCAGCTCCTGCTTGTACTGAAAATGTGATGATCAAGTCAGTTCAACTTGAGCAAATGGCTGGCATACCATATCTTCAGACAGTAAATCCACAGGGAAACAGAAGGCACCTTGAACAGCTCTAGGTCAAGGGGCTGTGAGGTACTTGCAGCTTTGGTACAATAGCTTCATTACCACCATTAGGCTTGCTGTGCCTTCAAGAACAGGAGTGGCCATGTCCTTTTGTTTCCTGCTGCTTATCCATAACATACAGATATGGAGGTCAGGGAGAAAGCTTATGCATGGCACACAGTGATGTTTTAATAGTGGGGTCAAGAGAAGGACAGCCTAGAGGTGATATCAACAAGGCGGGAGTAGAGAGCCTGGGAGGAGAGTTGATGAGGATGAAAGGATCGGCAACAGAGAGAAATAAACAAATGGGTGGCTCCAGATCCCTGGTTTTGGGACTTACCTACCATGCTGTGGAAACTGTTAGACTTAGCAGTGACAATCTCACTAGTATCATTTCTTTTTGTCTTTGTCAAGTTACTGTGGACCAGCATGTGGGAAATATCTTCATGTTCAGCAAAGTAGCAAATGTCATCCTTTTTTTCCGCCTCGACATCCGGATGGGGCTACTCTACCTCACCCTCTGCATAGGTGAGACCTCTTGAGTGTGCGGCCAGAAGCTACATCACTTGTGCAGGGCTTAGATACAAGAAGTACTAGAAGCTTTGGTGTAAAATATAATTTGGAAGTTGGGGATCTGGGGTTTGTGCACCTTTAATGTGGTAATCTTAGTTCCAGACAAGAGGCAAAGCAGAATACCGCTGCCTGAATCCATTTGCTTGAGATCTGGGAGGAGGGCTGAGAGGTCTGAGAATTTTTTTGTTAGTGCCAGTAGAGAAGTAGAACCTGGGAATTTTTCAGTCAAAGTGGGGAGATGCCATAGCACTGGTAGATCATATGCCTTGCAGACAGAATGTCAGTCCTGGGGTCTCCATTTAAAAGGATTGGGGGCCCTGCCTGAGACTCTTGGAGGACTGTTGTTAATCAGAGTAGATAGTACTGGGCTAGACAGACAAATAGGCTGGCCTGGCAGAAAACAACTTCCTAAGCCCACCCCAGCATCGTGTTAAGCTATGCTTGGTGTGTGTATATTTTCAGTGTTCCTGATGACCTGCAAGCCACCTCTGTACCTAGGTCCTGAGTACATCAAATATTTCAGTGATAAAACCATAGATGTGAGTATTTTATTCTCTGTACACCATTTTTTCTTCAAAAGATGGGCTAAATTTCTTGTTTTCTTCAACTCTCTTAGAATATCATAAACACATTTAAGTGATGGACATGATATCACACAAATCATTCCTTTTACAGGAGGAACTAGCACGTGACAAGCGGGTAACTTGGATTGTGGAATTCTTTGCTAACTGGTCCAATGAATGTCAGTCATTTGCTCCTATCTATGCTGATTTGTCTCTCAAGTGAGTGGTTTACTCTTCATCAGAGATTATATAGGTGCCTTGGAACAGGGGTGGAAAGACTTTAAGCATCTGTTATTTACACTGTTGTACTATTGACCAGGGACCCATCAACTGGGGCCATTCATAAAAGCAGCTGCTGAGGGGGGAGTGTTAGACACAATTTCATGCTGTGTCCTATGAACCATACTCTGGCATTTTCACCTGAACATGGTTAGATACCACTTAATTTTCAGTTTTAGCTCCTTGTTTTAGTCACTTTCTTCTGCTTCTCTGGTGCATTTTTAAAGAATACTTTACTATAAAACAAAGATAGTAGGCTGGGGGCAGGGTACTGAGAACAAAACAAAAAATTGAACCAGAAACATTTAGCCTAATTGCTTTCCAGCTCTGATTCTACTTATTCATGCATTGCTGATTGGCTTAAATCTTCCCTCCCTTCTTACAGCAAAATAATTACAAAACTAGTGGTGAAGTTTTCTGGAAGCTTCTACTGCTATCACTTGGAAATAAAAACTCAAAACTCGCCAGGTTGGCTGTAATGTGTAGGTTAGCAATGGCTTGATCTCAAAGTGCCTGAATTAAAAGGTGGTGGTGCAGGGAGGAAGCAAACCATGGTCACATGTTGGAAGTGCTAAAGAAAAACACTGCATAAGAGCAGATACTTTCTCTTCCTCTCCCTCCAATAGCTCTTGGCAGCTTTAAACACCACCACCACCAAACACTACTTGTTCTCGGAGGAAGAGAGTGCTTTGCATGGCACTGAGGAGCCAACAACCTCTCTCAGTCCACCTCAAATCACCTGTCTGTTGACCGCTTGCCCGCCCTACCTTAGAGCATACAAGTTCGGACCTACAACAAAATGATGCAGAGTGGAGTGTTTTGTGCATAGTTTTAACTACTCCGTTCTTCCCTTTCATTTCTCCAGCTATGGACTGTTGTCATTCCATGGCCACTAAATGTGCTCAGACCTCACTGGGTTGTTTTGGAGTTCCCACTTAGGTTTATTCCAAAGCCTGTCCATACCCTCCCTTGTGTGTTTTGGCTACGTAAGCAACAGCTGACATTGCCTGGACATCAGAAATAGAGGGAAGATGAGGGCTGTCTTCCTCTAAAAGCTTCAGTGCAGTTCTTGTGTTGAAACCTTTTCCTGGAAGCTCTCCACAAGTGTATCAAGTCATTAAGCCACATTATTGAAGCCATGAAATGTGCTTCTCTTCTGGTGGGTGGATACAGATAGTAGGTGTTTAGTTCCTTAAACTGAAACTTAAGAACAAAGATAGTTAGGTATAATTACAGTGTAATACTGCTAACCTCACATAACCTCAAATGCACAAGATTTCTAAGACTGCACAGCAGTTTTCTGATGAACAAAGATAAAGTAATCAAGTTACTGTGGCTGTCATTGTTGCTGTATTGATGGTTTAGGAAGTGAATTAACCGGAGCAGTGAAGGCTGTGGAATGGCCATTCTATTAAAACTGGAATGAGCTGTGCTTGTCCCTGCCACCCCTGAACTGTAGCTGTGCCTGGTGGTAAGGAGAAAAGAATAGCATGTTCTCTTTCAAGTCAGGCATACAGGGAATGCCTGCACCTGTTTTAGAACAAGCATGTGGCTTCTTGCTGCTGAAATTTGGCTACAGTTTTCAGAGCAGTGGGCTTGTAGATCCCAGAAAATTCCAGGCTGCATGGACACTCCAGAGTTGCCCCCTTCCCTTTGATTGAAATGTAACTTCCAGAGTTCTATCCAAAGCAGCTTTGTAAGGAGGCTTAAGAAATAGGTAATACCTACAAACCCTGGCTCTTGAAATTGTGCAGAAGTTACCGTATTTTTCCGTGTATAAGATGCTAATTTTTCTTAAAAACATTTACATAAAAATGGAGGTGCATCTTATACACGGGGGGCCAATAGGAGAACCACGCGTGGGGGGCGGCGGCGAGGCAGTGCATGCACGCGGCAGCAGCTTGCTTGCTCGGAGATTGGTAGGAAAAGTGGGGGGCATCCTATACATGGGGGGATCTTATAGACAGAAAAATACGGTATATCATTCTTTTCTAGAGGCATAATTCCAGTTTGAGTAGGTTTTATCATTTATATTCTTGTGACTCTAGTAAGAGGCATGTGGGAAGGATTTGAGCTGATGCAGAGCGTCCATTTGTGTACTAACTGCTGGCTGTTCCTGGTTAAAACTCCAGAATAAGCCCTGTCACCCTTGCACTCAAATGAGGCACAATCCTGTTATTCTTGCACTGAGGAACAAAAGGGGGGGGGGTCTTTCTGTGACTCTTGGCTTTCATTTCAGAAAAAATTATCTGCAGACATTTTGCTTCCTGTAATGGCCAGTAGGTGGCCACAGTGTAAAAAGTTTCATCTTTACTCCAAGGCAGTAATCCTTTTTCAGGATCAAAACTTCTTTGGGCTTCCACCTCCTTTCCTTTTGGGCAACAACCTTAGTGCCCCCATGCCTCTCTCTTTGCATTAGGTCTATTGCTCTACTGCAGATTTAAAACAACAAATCATCATCCCCTGGATCTTTCCACTGCCCTCAGGAATTCTCTCACTTTGGGAATTGCTGGTCTAAGAGAAAATCCCAGCTTCCCTGGAAATGCGACATTCAGTTGATTATTGCTTAAGAAGAAAGAGCGGTTGTGTAACTCAACATAGTAAAACCTGTTTATTTGTTAATATTTATGTTGCCTTTTTCCTGCAAGGAATGAAGGTGGCTTACTTACTCCTCCTCCTCCTCCTCTTCATTTTGCACTCACAACAGCACTAAGAGCCAGGTTAGGCTGAAAGTCAGTGGCTGGGCCAAAGCCATCCAGTGAGCTGTATGACCAAGTGGGGACCAGCCCTGGTTCTCTTTGAGTCCCAGCTCAGCACTCACCAGTTTGCCACACCGGCTCTGAATGGGTTGATGCTTAATCAGAGGAGTCGTTCAAGCTAGTGAGAAGCAACTCGGTCATCAGCTCAACAAACCTTCTGTACACTTCCTATGCCTTGGCATCACCTGAAGGCACATGATGCTGCAGTCTCGCTGAAGCTAAGCTGGCTTCTCCGCTCACTCCCTGGGCAGGAAAAATATACATACTGCCTGGAGTTCCATGCTGGAGGGAACAAATGTGGTGGCTGTTCTTGATGATAATTATAAGCACTTATTTCTTCACAGCCTTTTGCCCATGTACTAACTTTCGCTGTGTCCCACCAGGTATAACTGCACTGGATTGAATTTTGGGAAAGTTGATGTGGGCCGCTACCCTGATGTAAGCACCAGGTGAGCTCTTCAGTAGTCTTTGCTAGAGGTAGTTTCTTGGAAATGACTTCGCTAGCAGGATTTGTGTTGCATAGTCCTTTTGAAACGTTTGTGTTTTGCAATAGCAGGTCAGACTGGAAGGAAGAGAGGACACTGGCTAGACACTGCTTAGAATTCTTTTTGGACTCCTTGTCTCCTCACAGGTACAAAGTCAGCACCTCTCCCCTCACCAAGCAGTTGCCCACTCTAATCCTTTTCCAAGGTGGGAAGGAGGTGATGCGGCGGCCACAGATCGATAAGAAGGGACGAGCAGTTTCGTGGAACTTCTCTGAGGTATGCCTGGTCTGCAGTGTCATTGTGTAGTTCCTTACCCCCCATGCATGGTGACAGCAGGCCAAGGTTCCTGGTGATATTTCAGTTATCCACAGTCAAAGCAGAGTCGCTGCAAAGGTGGGGATGTGAGTCCTGTACTTAATGGGTGAGGGAGGTGCCTAAGACTGGCACAAAGCAATGCTGATCCATCTTTTTGTCACAGGAGAATGTGATCCGGGAATTCAGTTTGAACGAGCTGTATCAGAAAGCAAAGAAACTCTCCAAGCAATCCACTGAGATCCCTGAGGAGTCTTCAGAACAGTCTGCTGTCACTGAGCTTCCTAATGGGGAGACCAAGAAGGACAAATGAAGTCTGTAGGATTGCACTCTGGTCCTTGTGCTTTTGCTCCCCATCTCCTCTTCATTCCCATCTTGATTTCTCTTGGGGAATTGCCCAAAATCTTTTTCCACCTAACAGTGCTGATGCCGGGAGAGAAGTCTAACTGTCAGGGGGCTTCTGTTGGTTGTGGGCTCAGTGTGTGCTTGCTGCTGGCCACTTGGGCTAGACATGTTCTTGTGCACTTTTGTCCTGATCCTCCTTGCAGGATCAGTGAGGGACAGTTTCCGTAGATTAGAACCAGCAAATGGGGATCTCTCCACCTTGCTTATAGAGACTAAAACTGTGAAAACAGAGACATCTAGATGAGAGGTTGCAACCCGCTCTGGCTGTGAATAGGAACTGCTGAGATATTCAACAGACACTGGAAGGGAAGGGGGTGGGCTCCATGTTGGTTCAGTGGAAAAATCCTGACAAACTCACATCTTTTGTGAAATCAGCTCCCTTCCTTCCTGTCAAAGCTCTGAGAACACCCTCTTATTTGAGATGATCTTTTGCAGGGTGATAGCTGTGATTGAGAAGATATAGGTATAATTTCCAGTTTCTACTAATTTCTACCCATTGCCCTCAGCTGTAATGAGAGCAAAACTTCTAACTGCCTCTTCTCACTGTCTGGGGACTTAGAAACTGATGGGCAGAATTAGAATGTGCGCCAACTCTGAATGTGCTGCTGTGCCAGAGAGTTACGTGGCTGCCATGCAGCCCTGAAGGTCTTTCTAGCTGCTACCTGCCCATGTGCATGCTCAGCATGTAGCAGCCTTTCCCCCCTGACTGAAGGAGTAGCTGTTTCTATCAGTCATCATGTACTGTACAAAATGTACAGTCACTGCTGTACCACTCCACACAGGGAGCTTGCTCATTGGTAGAAACAAGCTCCATTTCACTGCGCTCATCCATCTTCATGCTTCTGTTAATGGTCTTGTACAGTCGCCTCTAATAAACAAACCTGGGAATGTCTTGTTCCTGTGTAGTCTTTTCTTATGGGGGGAGGTGTTGTAATATGAAGAGCACCTGTAGTGCATTGAGAACTTTTACCTGACTGTTGCTTCTCATTACACAAAACACATTGTTTGGCATTGTACATCTAATTGCATTCCCTGCTTAAGACTCTTCCTTCATGGGAGGGAGCACCCAGCTACTCTCTCCTAAGACGGAGGTCCTGTTGGTTGGCGGATCGGGCTTCGGAGAGGGTGAATTGAACTTAGTCCTGAATGGGCTTGCACTCCCTCTTAGGGACAAGGTCTGCAGCCTGGGAGTGCTCCTCGACCCAGAGCTTTCATTGGAAGCTCAGGTGACAGCAGTGGCGAGGAGCGCTTTCCTTCAGCTTCGGCTGATCCATCAGCTGCGCCTCTACCTGGAGTACGACTGCCTGGCGACAGTGACACACGTGCTGGTGACTTCCCGCCTTGACTTCTGTAACGCGCTCTACGTGGGGCTACCCTTGAAGACGGTCCGGATACTTCAATTGGTTCAAAATAGAGCTGCCAGGCTGCTGACGGGGACAGGGCTCCAGTTCTCCGTCAGCTTCACTGGCTTCCCATTGAAGTCCGGGCCCAATTCAAGGTGTTGGTGATGACCTATAAAGCCCTAAACAGCTTGGGTCCTAGTTACCTGAAGGAGCTTACATCCATATATGCCCGCCCGCCCCTTGAGATCTGCCGGGAACCCTCCATGAAAGAAATTAGGAGGGTAGGTACTCAGAGGAGGGCTTTCTCTGCGGTGGCACCCAATCTATGGAATGCGCTCCCCAGAGAGGTCCGCCTGGTGCCGTCGGTATTTGTTTTTCGGCGCCAGACGAAGACCTTATTTAAACGTCATTTTAATTGTTAATATTATTTGCTTATTTTATCTGGCCAGGGCGACTTATTTTATATTGTTAATTTTGTTGTATATTTGAATGTATTTTATTTTAATTTTATGTTGCGAGCGCCCCGAGGCTTCAGTGAATGGGGTGGCATAGAAATGTTTTAAATAAATAAAATAAATAAACTTGGCAGAGAGGCCAAAGGCTACAGTCCAGAAGACAGATCTCATGGCAAAGAAATTTGGTGTGAATTGCCCAGAAAGCTTCATCTACTGGGTGACACAGAAATTGTAAGACTTAAAATGTGAATACATCTTGGAAGGTCACATTGATTGATTGATTGATTGATTGATTGTTTTTATATGCCATCCCCTTGCTATATAGCCTTGGGATGGCTCATAGAAATAAATACAAAACAAATTACAATTACAATTAAAACCCGGAAACACACTGGCTGCACAATTAAAACCTATAAATATTAAACATTATTAAAATATTGTTTGAATAAAAAGGTTACACTGAGTGTTTTAGGAGATCTCCAAACTGGATTTCTTTCAAAGCTTTTTTAAAGTGGATGGGGCAAGAGCTAATCTGAATCAGGACTGTATCTTGTTGAATGGATTTTAATGATTGTAAGCCGCCCCGAGGCTTATGCGATGGGGGCGGCATATAAGCTGTCTAAATAAATAAGTAACTTTTCACTCTTGCTACTATAAAATGCATAGCATGATAAAGCTACATGGTCCACAGCTTGGTACCAGTATGAGGATGTTGCAGGAAGAGAAGAAAAAGTTCTTGTATTTCAACAGCACTAGTTCATTTATACATGGTTTACCAGTTGAATGTCCTATGAAAGGTAGATACAAAGAGGGAACAATTTGAGAAACAGGAACAGATTCAAATGCATTATAGAGCAGGAAAGATGGAAACAGTTTAACCTAGAGCAATGGAAGAGTCTTCCATAACACAGCTTCATTGAGGGAAGAGGAAGTCGTTGCCTCGACCTGAAAGGGACCTATCTAGAGTGGGTTGTAGGAGGTCTTGCCAGTTTAGGCGATAGAACAAGTTGCTTAAGAGAAGCTGTAGAAATATTTGGCAAGTGACATATTTGCCTTAGTAAGACATGGCAGGAGCTGTTCACCCACTGTTGAGATCATATGTGAATCAATCACCACTTGATAACCCCCTACAGAACTTCTGCATTGCTTCGAGTACTGCTTTCCAGCAGGTCCCCTGCATAATCGACTATGATAATAATGAATGTATAGACCATGTTATAAGAGAGAACCAGTGTGATAGAATGGTAAATGTTGGAAAACAACTTTACTGCTGAAGACATTGTGGGCTATAAATGTAATAAATTTACATAAAATACTGCATAATGGTAGGAGTTGAGAGATTTGATTTTTGAAACGCATATAATACCAAGTCAGCTGTATTACTGTATTTGTAAAATGCCTAAAATCTAAAAGTTGGACCACAAAAGCACACAGAGAGAAAGGGAAAACAAAGTAAGATCAGGCACTAATCTGGAAATTTTCATAGCTATTCCAATTTATAAATCCTTACTTTCTTATACCTAAACTCTCTAAGGATGTAGCAGCACCTTTACTTCGAAAAGGCAATTGCTACAGCTACGCTTGGCCTCGCATCCTTTTAATTCAGCATTAGCACATCCCGAATAGGTAAAAGCAATCCGGTTTCTACCCATATTTGGCCACCTCAGATCTAGGAGTAAGTACGGAGGCGGGGATTTATGCTTGAAAAGACTGCGGGCGATGGTGGGAATTGTAAGGCTGTTTCTGCCTAAGCATGCATGGAAGTAACAGTGCAATTTTAATGCACAGCCACTCGGAAGTGAGCGCTAGTGATTTCAATGAGGTAACGGGCACAAGCTGGCAGCCCAAACCCGTACTAAAGCGATAGCACGAAACAGCCACCGCCCGCCTTTCTTTGCAACCACGCCTACCGTGGGAGAACAAACCACCGATTCCACCGTTTCCAGGATCTTCCAACTGGCAACACCAAGGCCTAGAGCGGCTTCCGGAAAGCCAGGATTCGGAGCGAGCAGTGATTGGTTACCTTGGCGGAGGGTGGCAGCAACCAACTGGCAACGCTTTAAAAAAGGAGGGGGACGAAAAGGATTTCTCCGAGCATGATTAGGACTTGTCCCTGCCTGGCTCCTTGGCGTCTCAGGCAGAATGCCCCCACTGCTAGTCGGCCTCTGAATTTGGCGCGGCTGCTTCTTGTGGCCTCCTCTGCTTGATCGTTGAATTTTCCAATGGGGTTTCCAGCCTACCTTCCTCTCAAATGGTTGAAGCTGGAGAACAGGTTCCTCTCTCCGTCTGCGGCGGCACGTGGTTCGGATCATTGTCGACCAAAACGCCAGGTAAGGTTTCCTTGCGCGACGGAAAGCGGGGCTCGCCTTTTGTGCAGGCTTCTCCTGCATCTCTGCCCTTGACGGGATGGGAAGCCTCTCCGTTTGAGGAAAGACGGTAGCTGAAAGTCGATCTCCTGCCGCTCCGTGCAGGGACTGACTAGGCTCCTTTTTCTTTCGGTTCTTGGTTTCGCCTAAATTCGTGGTTGCTTACCCTTGGTCCTCTCTGCCTTTACTGCCCTACATTTTTGTCATCACTGGGCAACCGACGCGGCTCCTTTTCCTTCTCTGCGGAAGTATCATTGTTGGCCTGTCGCTGAACCATTTCGGCCTTTGTCTTTTGCCATTTTGTTCTTCGTTTTTTTAGGATCCTGCAAGTTTGAGCACAACCAGCGTTCCTAGAATAATCGTTTAAGGTTTCCCTGGTTATAACAGTTGTTGGGAGTACTTATAAATCTTGCGCCTTTTTTGATTGAAAGTTCCTCGAATACACCTCAATGCAGCGGTGTAGTGATAAATTCTGAAGTGTGGGTGCATTTTGTAATAGCCCCCATAGACTTGCTCCCCAGCAGATTCCAAAATTCAGGTAGCCATGTTCATCTGCATGGACATCTCCCCGCCCCCCCCCCAAAAAAGAGCATGCTACTCAGTTAAGAGAGAATAACTCATGACAAAGAGTAGCTCATCTAGGCAAATCGTGAACTGGCAAAGGGTAAGGTAGCTGTTAGTATGTTGGGCTTCGGGTGGAGAGACCCAAGATTGAGGAGAAAAGGAAAGACGAGTATACAACAAGTAGGTGTGTACATAACCCACCAGTTTTTAAACTGATGGGATATTATTATGCATGCTGCTTACAGTGATCCTGCCTCTGCAGCAAATCCAAGGCTGGCTCTTTGATGGATTGTGAGCTGTGATGTGCAAACAAAGACTGCTGGAGTTTAGGGGCTAAACAGTGGAGCAGTTAACTCATGGCTTGTTGTTGGGTTTACTCTTGGGCTGTTTAGGGGCTAGTCCAAGTTCACCTGACACACTTCACAAGCCATGAAAGAGCCAATGGTGGGTGGGGGAGTAAAAACAGAAGTGGCAGGTGTGCTCTATAGCAGTAAGACCACACATACACACCACCTATTGGCTTTTAAACTGATGGATTATCATTACATGTGACCAGGACCAACAGGTCCCTAAATGGCATAAGAACACCAGCTCAAGGTTTTTTATTTATATATTTTATTTATTTTTCTGCATTTGGCAAAATACTTTATTTCATAGTTGGAAATCCAGTCCTAGCTATTTTTGTCTCTGTCAGAAGCAAGTTTTTTGTAATGCTGGTGGGTCCTAATTGTTCATTCAAGACTAAGCCACTCCAAAATACATTATGATAGCTCACAGCAGTCGAAGCCCTGACTTCACTACACCATTGCCTAAATATCTCTTATGGTGTCTTGCAAGATGTTTGGTGGACCTACATTGAAATATTTAACACTGAAGGAAGCATTTCTGCCATGCTTCCCATAGTTTCAGGTTTCTTTTGTTTTTCACAGTAATTCATTGGCATTGTACACTTTGCATACAGATCTGCAGACCACGTAGAGGGAAGGTGGTAGCATCTTATCAGACCTACTGAAAAACTATTTTTTCCTTATTCTGTCTGATCCCCCTTTCCTTGCATCTTTTTAAATGGTAAGTCTTGTTTTATCATTACATGTAAACTACTCTAGGACCCTTCCTGTTCAGGGGGTAAAGAATACTTTTAAGCGCATAAGTATAGTTGGGGAAAAACCATTGTAGAGACTGAGGAGAGACTATCAGTGTAGACCAGCTTTCTCCAACTTGATGCCCTCCAGACTTCCACACTCCCTGGGCATTGGCTGTAGTGGCTGAGGAGAATTGTAGTCCAACACATCTGGCAGACACCAGGTTGAAGGAGGCTGCTGTACACAGTAGTGAACGAGTTACACTGATGTGCCAAGTAAGCCCAAGGCAGCTCCTAACCTTTGCTTCTGTTATTTCTTTCTCTGGGCTGTTCTTCCCAGGAGGGGTTGTCATATGCACATTGAGAATGAACGGTGGCCCAGGAGCGAGGAGTTCAGTACTGGTAGCCCCACTTCTTGTCTCTGTTTTTTCTGTTGGTGTAGAATGCCCCCTAAAGGGCGGAAGAGGAAGGCTGAAAGGCCTCAGGCAAAAGCTGCAGCATCCAACGGAGAGAAACCAGATGGTGCTGAGAAATTGCCCAAGCAACTGAAAAAGAGTGAAGGATCGGGCCCTCACGTGATCATTGAGCATTGGTGAGCATCTCTGTGCTACTTTCATCTCCTGTGTGTTGGAACAGCCAGGTGACCTGAGATACTGCGTCATGCCAAGACACTTTACATGCTGGATGGGATTTCTGAGCATTAATTCTGTCAGTGAATGAAAGAAGTCTTAGGCCTTCAGTAGTTTGAACTTTGATTGATTATGGGTGCAATCCTATTCTTTAGAAAGAAAAACAAGCCCTACAGGGCTCAGCATAGCTGACTAGGAATCACTAGGAGCTGTAGGAATTTTTTCTTGTTGTTTATACATGCATAAGGTTGCATACTAAGTTTTTTGCATTTGAAAAGCATGTTTTAAAAAGAGGAAAATCTTTGTTTTTTATTATGCTTGCAGTAAGCATCATTTTTAGAAGAGGCATATATCAACACTATGTGTAATCAGTTGGGCTAAAAAAAATAAGGGTACAATCCCATCCTTGCTTAGACAGAAAAAGTTCTACAGCTCCCAGCATTTTCCATGCAGAATGGAGAATGCTGATAGTTGGGACACTTTTTTTCTAAGTATGAATAGGATTGTGCCCTAAATGTTGCAGTTGTAATAAGAATACTTGTATTCTGAGCTGGAAATACCATTTTCTAATGCTGAATGTCTTACAGGAAATAAGTAATGGAATGGGAAACATGGAATGAATTCTGAATACGGGAAGTGGATGGGAGCCCTTTTTTCTCAGGAAGTCGAATTCATCACTTGGAATTCGATGCAGACGTTCAAGCAATGGGTCAGAAAAAATAGACATTTGTTCCTGCTTTTCTTTTTCTTACAGCAAAAGCTGACGCGTGTTTGGCCGCAATGCTGATGCTGTCAGCCAGGCACTACAGCAGGCCTTTCCTGATGCTCTGGTGGAGATCAACCCTGAGAAGCCACGCAGGAATAGCTTTGAGGTGGCTCTGCTAAAAGAGGATGGCTCTAGTAAGTGAATGTGTCATGCAAATCCCTAGTATAGCTGGATGGGTGAGAAACTGGACTCCTCAACAGCTGTTTTATCTATTGTGGAGAAATTTCAGAAGGCGCCCAGCTCAGTAGCTTTTAGACTGCTAGAATAGCAGTCTAAAATAGACTTTTATTTAAGCGTCATTTTAATTGTTAACAGTATTTGCTTATTTATCTGGCCAGGGCGACTTATTTTATATTGTTATTTATTTTATATTGTTATTTTTGTATTTTACTTTATGTTGTGAGCCGCCCCGAGGCTTCGGCGAATGGGGCGGCATAGAAATGTTTAAATAAATAAATAGAATAGAATAGAATAAGGAGTTGGGCTACCTGTAGCCCTTGAGGCATTTTGGCCTACAGTTCCAATGCTGAGGACTGATGGGAAATGGAGGCGAAAATATCTGGAGGGCCACAGACCCCTGTGCTAGAATGTGCGTGACTGGATGCCACAGGTCCCACTCACTGGGAAAGCAGGACACCTACCGTCGTCCAGAGTCCTTCTGAGAGTTCATTTGCAGTGCAGTTCGAAGCTCTTCTGAGCAGGAAGATTGTGTCTTCTGCTGCTGCTTATCCAGCACAAATGGGAGGAAATGCTGTCTTTTCTGTACATTCCAGAGGATTATTGTGGAAGGGGCAGTGTTGGTGGCTGTCACAAATAATGGTTGGCTAGCAGGCTAAGGCAACATGTTTGAATCCATCAAAGGAAACTGAACAGTGGAAAAAGTGCAACCTGCTGCAGCCCTCTCAATCGGATGTGTTGGATTACAACTACATCCTGGCTAAGGAGCATGGGTGTTGTCCTGCACATCTGGAGAGTGACTGGTTGGGGAAGGCTAAAGTATTGAATAGGGCTTGCTTCCACTGATACTTGTGCCCCCATTTGGGCATTTATTTGTGCTAAACTTTGAAGTGAAAGATAGCAACCTCCGAGTTCTGAGAAGATAAAAAGCAAGGACAAACAAGTAACTTTGCTGTTTATTGCTTTTTATTACACAACTGTCTGTACTCTGTTTGCCTTTGGCCTGTAAGCTACAGATGCAGTTGTCTTTATCACAGCCCTTAAGGGAGTGCCTAGCACTTTCTGGGTAATTCAGACATGTGGTCGGGAATGCAATGTAACAAGGAATGTGCTGGTCTGTGCTTCTCCAGTCTTTTGATGATGGCACAGCACCTAAAGGTTGAGCTTGTGTTCTTCCATCATAGAGCAGAGGCTGTCGCTTCTTTCACGTATCACTCCCCAGCATAGGAAAAGGCTGGAGTTGCAAACAGACTGGTAGCTATTTGGGGTGTGCTACTTTTCCCCACTTGTTGTAACAGATGGTGAACCGGCCACCTGCTTTCAGGTCCAGTTGTTAAAATACTGAAAGGCAGAGAGAAATATAGGCAACATATCTTGCTCTTCACTGGACTGGTGAGATATTTCTTACAACTTTTTGGAGCTAATACTGGGATCTAATACTAATAGATAGCACTATCTTCTAAGCCAGCCTTCCAAAACCTGTGCCCTCCAGAAATTTTGGTCTACCAGCACCTACAATTCTTGCCCATTGCATGTGCTGACAGGAAGCTCAAGTTCAAAACATCAGGTGTGGGAAGGGAGTTTTGCAGTTATGGTTCATATTACCTTCCCTGCCCAAACAGCAGTCTGACAGTCCTTACTGTTGCCCTCTTTCGGATGAAGAGCCCTCACTGATGTACAAGTCCTTATTTCTTGAGCCATATGATCCCCTAGGTCAGTGATGGCAAACCTTTTAGGGACTGAGTGCCCAAACTGCAACCCAAAACCCACTTACTTATCGCAATGTGCCAACACTGCAATAAAACCTGAATACTGAGGTTTTAGTTTAGAAAAAAGAACTCATATATAGGAAAACTCAAAGCTAAAATTTTGTGTTAATAACACTGAATGTATTAAAGCTCACAGCCAGTCCAAGCAAATACAGTGGTACCTCAGTTCACAAACTTAGTTCGTTCCACAATTCTGGTCGTGAACCAAATTGGTTACGGAGTCAAATTTCCCCATAAGGTTCAATGTAAATAAGGTTACTCCATTCATGTGCTTTGGGGTTTGTTTGTTTTTTTAACCACAAAAATATGAAACAAAGTACAGTACTGTATGAAGAGAGAGAACACTAACCTTGCCTGAGGCGACTTCCGGCGTGGAGGACAGGAGGGTTGGTGGGGAGGAGATTATTGTTTGGAGGGAGAATCTGCGACCCCAATCTCAATTTGAGGAAGCCACAAACACGTGTCAGAGCGAGGAAGATGGCCATGTTCATGTTCATGTTGCTTTCCTGGAAGCTGCTCCAGGCATCTGGAGACATCAGTTGAAGCCTTGTTCACAAGGCTCACCAAGAAGTGAGGATAAATCCTGCATTAGAAGAGTCTTCGGCCTGACCTGTATGGCAGCTTCCTGATTCAAGAGCTGCAGCAGTCCAGTTATCCTTTTGCTTGTCATTCCACCACTCCAGAGACCCAGAGGCAGTTGTTGAACTGGCTCAATATGAGAGATAAAGCGGGAGTGATCTGGAATAGTTTGGATGGGGCTGTTAGCCCCACTTGTTTGGAAAAACAGCTGGCTGTTTCACAAATGCCCCACTTCCAAGCCAACAGAGCGGGGTGGCCTCTTGGTTGTATGCTTACTGTGTATCGGCAGTAATTTCATACACATGCTACTGCTGATTACCTTCTACCTGTTGATTTTAGGAGTGGAATTATGGACTGGCCTTAAGAAAGGGCCACCACGCAAACTGAAGTTTCCAGAACCAAATAATGTGGTTGAACTCCTGAAGGGTAACTTGGATTAAAGCCAACAGCAGCTGGGTAGGATTGCCAATGGTGAGTTTGTACCAAAAACCCAAACCAAAACCACCCAAAGCTGTGTCCTCTAAGATCTACTGAAAATCAGAATGTTTTCAGCAGGCAGGAACCTCTGGTGGAGTTGCTTGGTGCTCAGAATATTATGGTGTGTTAGTTTTAAACACTTGCTACCATAGGATTAAAACTTAGCTATGCGTTCTTTTCTATTTTCCCTACTGTTGCTCTTTTATCAAAAATAATCCTTGGGATATGAGAAGGTGACTGCTCCATGATTTTACAGTAGAAAATCCCTCACTTAAATCAGATATTCCAAGGGAAGGTTGATCTGTCTTTTCACCAGTCCTGTATGCACCTACTACACAAGATCACATACGAGTTTTTGCATACCTGTTAATTAAGCAAAAGTTTCCTCATGTGGTATGTAAGCTGCAGAACAGGGAAGGCTAGGAGAGGATATCAAGTCCATCCAAAACAAAATTCTCTTACCCCAGTGCGGCAAATAGAATCTTGTGTGAGAGCAACAAAAAAAAATGCATTGAATCTATAAGGAAAACTACTAGGACAAACAATTGTATGTCTGTCACTGTGTGTATCTGTGACAGTCTTGGCTTTCATTGAGAAATAGAAGAAAAAGGTCACACAAATGGGTCTTTTCCTGCCACTGATGGCAAAGTCTTCCTCTCCTGATTAAAGAATGAATGTTTCAGATTTCTTCAACACAAGCTGGAAGAGCTGCATTAACCACACCTTATGCTTTGTGTAGATAAAAAGCTAACAGCAGTCTTTTTTTCTACCCAGCACATCTGATGAACCATTCATTCTGAGTGAGTTGGAGCATCCATGATGGGATATGATTAAGTGGGGTTAAACTCCAGTCACATCTCTGAAGCTACAGCCCCTCCTCCACAAAGATCAATGGATCAGATAATTGCCATTCCTTGCCCCTTCACTTTTTAAAGTCTGTTTGCATTATTATTAGAAATTTGCAAGGAAATTCCTTGTTTTTTTCCCAATAAAACTTGTTCTATATGCTTTGCTGTTTGTCTGCAATCTGTTCAGTGGAATAAAGGTAGTGGGCACTTATCCAGGAGTATCTTAGTATACTAAATGCTGAAGTTTGCTAAAGTTGCCCTTCTAGATAACTGGAAGTATGAATCTATTTTCCTTTTAAGAACAAACATTCCACTTAAGTTCAATAGGGAAATGTCTGTTGTCCCCTCAAGCTTCTCCAACAGCACATGTGGATCTAGACCTTCCCCAGCATAGCCATCAAATACTTTCTGCCCTTACCAGTGATTTGAGAGACCAGATATTTCTATGCCATCTGGGAATGGGGTTATAAGCTTGCAACGGTGGAGCTCTGAAACAATTTTATCCTTATCCTTCAGTTCTGAAACCTTTCTCGTCTATAAAAAGGAACTGACTGTTGGCAACCTTGTCATTTCCTACACTTCCTGCTACCCCACTCCTTCACTTGTAGTTGTCCTCTGCATCTTTGGAATCCCGATCAGGGCTGCTGGCAGGGAGATGGTGATGAGGAGTGACCTTGAGTGGGTTCGCACAAGACAAGCAACCACTAAAAAAAACCATGGCTGCTTGTCATGTTGTCTGAACCGTCATGTTAAGTGACTGTTCTGACTTACCATGACTGTCAATTAGGACACAGTAATCTCTACCATGTCTGTCTGAACTGTGACAACACAATCCATGTGGTAGAAAGCCCAGTGTGAAAGTGTTACTTGGCAGGAGCAATAGTTCTTGCTCCTCCCAAGCAGTTAGCCAAAGAACATGGCTAACAGCTGCCCCAGTTTCTCCCCCTGGGTCCTGAACAGGGGAGCTTTCTCCAGCTGACTGATGCACCTTATGCCTGGAAGAATCAGGACCACCCTACTAGTCCTGTGAGCCGTCCCGAGGCTATGTAGCAAGGGGACGGCATATAAAAACTTTAAATAAATAAATAAATAAATAAATAGCCCTATGCTGCCCTTTAAGAGATGAGCTCTGTTTGTTTGGGCTGTCTAGCCGTCTGTACGAAGTGGAACTTGGCTCATGTTGCAGCTATCAAAGAGGGACCTCATTCCTCCCTTCAGTGGTTTCTGGATGCTGCTAAGAGGGAAGGTGGTGGGGTAAGCAAGCAACTACCATGTGCCCAATCACCTGTCAGGCTCACAGTGGCTGCTTGGCACTTCCCAGCAACAGATGTGGGAATCCACCTTTTTACTTTGCCCTTCCCAAACTAGCAATGATTATGAGAGCAGTTCAGACACCGTAGTCTCAAGTAGAACCAAGTCCTCATAAAACTCGGGAAGCACTGCTATGGCATCAGAAACCTCTTAATATCTGCAATTACTCCCTAAACAATCATCTCCCTCCCCTGCCAGCCAGTTAGTATGTAGATAGATGTTTTTTCCCCTGGGCGAGTTACATTTATAAGCTGACATCAGTATAGATGAAGTAAAACAAGTAAACTTTATTTGAACAAATCGCAACTCAACATTTTATTGTTGCCTTTGTGCCATCTGCTCTTCAGAATGTTCTTACACTGAGAACTCTGGGTGGTGAGAAGGAAGCACAGCTCCATGGAGGTATGGGTCACTGCACTTGAATACACCTCTCTGTGAAGAAACTGTAAACACAAGGGAGATGGTTTCAATGAACAACATGCGACTTAACATTTGTTTTTAAGACTCTGGAGAGCCTTCCCTATATACAATACAGAAAGTCAGCAGGACATCTAACTGTTCACTGCATCAGCTTCTGAACAAAGTAGGCCTGTTATCTGAGGTGGTGTAGTTAACAGCGGGTCCATCCTGTCAGACAAAGCAAAATGACAAGAGTTGTTGCTTATGACGGCACATTACACTTCATTAAGGAAGGGAATTTAACAGCCAAGCAACTTCTCCAAGAAATGCTTTTGAGATGTCACTGTACAAACCACAGAACACTCCCATAAAGTATAGTCAATTCCCTTAGCAGTAGGTAGCAAATACACTACTCTTTAAAGAGTACTTTTGTGGCAGGAGCAGATGGGGTCCAGTACAAGGAGGTCACCTGTGTCTTCCCCATTATTGACAGGTAATCCACTCCTACTTAAATCAAGAGTGGCTGGTTCCCCGTGCTGCTCCACTAGCTAAAGTTATAAAGAAATAATCCAAACAGCTACAAGAAGATGTGTAAGAGTTGACTTAACCACCCACTAACAAAATGTTTTAAAAGATGGCTATGAGAAGTGCAGAGCTTGAATAGCTTGCACAGCAGACGGGCGCCTCTACCCCAGAAAGCACAAATAATTTGGTCCACTGGAGGGTGCACACATGCACCAGCTGATGTTAACGTCTCTCTTGATCCGAGGGCAGCGATACTCTCTTCTGTTTACACCTTTGTCCTGAATAACAGAAGTGAAACAATGCACTCAAGCAATCTTTGCTTGCTCTAAGGAGAAATCTCCCAACAAAAAAATACCATCACTTCACAGAAGCACCACTGCTGGTTTCTTTCTCCCTCTCTTTAAAGTCTCATATCTACCTACCCCATAAAGTAGATTAGCAGAGCCCAGGAATCCTGGGAGACTTCCCTGCACACAAACATCGGGATTATGAAGATCACAGCCATGATTAGGCTGAAGGATGGTGGTCATGGAGTAGAAGCCCTGCCCCTCCCTTTGAAGTTCAGAAGCCGCTTTCTCCCAACACTTCCAATACGTTACTCGAAATGCTGTAAGATCCCATTCCCCATGCTTTTAGCCACAGGCCCATTGCCATTTCCATGAAAAGTATGCACAGTACTGAGGGCTGCCCTGTGCTGGCTAACCAAGGCAATACCTTGCCACACATCCTGCACTCACTAGCTCAGAACATCCACCTCGGTTTCAGACACTGGAGAAGGATCTGGCCGAACCCATTCAGTGCTAACAAATGGCTCCTCAACCCCACCGACATCTATTTCTTCATCTTCCAAGCTGGCTAAGAGCGGCGGCAGCTCAGAGTCCAAGTTGTGCTGCAAAGGGCTCCTTAGCACTGCTTGTGTATGGGGCTGGGATTCTGTGTCCAAGAACCCCGCTCCATAGGACAGAAGCCCTTCGTCCACATCACCCCTTAGTGTGAGAGGCAAAGGCTCCTCAAGCCTTGTAGTCCCATTCTCTGACACAGTGAGCTGGGGCTGAGGCACTCCCCAATCATGCAGCGGAGGAGGAGGCGGCCTACACAAGGCTAGAGAGCCACAGCTGGGTTCAGAGGTCACAAATGGAAGGCTGCCACAAACGGCATCCAGCAAGGGACCTTCATCAGCTGAGCCACAAGTTCCTTGGCTGATTTTCCTGTCAGTTTCTTCCTGTTCCCCTTGTAGGGAACTATTGCCTGTCTTGACAAGCTGCGGACAAGCTGACACTTCAGCAGGACACTTCTCTCTTTCTTCAGCTTCAGTGCTTCTCGGTGGACTCTTATTGGCTCCTGGTGCAGTGCTCTTTGCATCAGTGGTGCCTTGCGGTCCCCCAGTGCCATCGTCATCTGCCAGAAGCAGATCTAGCATGTGTTCTAGCTCTCCAGCTGAGGCCAGGGTGTCATACTGTTCCACCTCTGCTAGAGGGTCTAGCATAAACATGTTCAGACCAAAAGGGTTCCCGGCAGCACTATCCTCTTCATCTAAGACCATCTTGTTCTCAGCTTGTTCTGCCAGATTCTTCTCACTACAAGATGCAGTCTCTAGTTTTGCTGGCAGCAGGCCAGCAGAGCCAATGACCTGTTGCGAGTCTGCTACCTCTGGCTCAAGACCTTGAGAGAGGGTCTGGCAACCCTTTGTCTTCACAGCGCACACAGTGTTTGCAGGCCTCATGAGCTGCGCAGCAGGCAATTCCTGCACCACTTCCCAGCAGCTGCCATTGATCACTTTCCTGAGTTTTACCCGGCCAATCTGCCCTGCCTCTTGGGGAGCGGTTGAGCTGGGAGCTGGCTCACTGGAGTTGCGCTTTCTGCTTTTAGTCGACTTTGAAAGAAGGGGAGGGCTCCAGAAGCCATGCAAATAGCTTCCATCTTTTGCTCCTTTTGTTTCATCCTGGCCAGGACTTTTCTGCCTCCAGAGACGCCGAACAGACCTTGAAGATGCCTTGATGGATGCCACAGCGCTACAGTCTTTAGTGGTACAAGGCATGGGCGAAGGTGGTGAGGAGGGCTTTGGCCGGCTGAGCTTAATCTTCTTCGACTTCTGCAAGCTGGCCATGGCTTGCTTATCTCCAGTCTCAATCTCCTGTGTGCGCAGTCTGCTGCTCTCTTCATTGCTCAAAGTATTCCTTCCCGTGCCTACAGGACGCTTTTTACCTTTTGTTCTTAGTGGTTCAGCAGTAACTGCTGAGCCTTTGGGAATCTGTCTGTCCTCACTCAGCAATGTTCCAACAGGTTTGTGCTTCTTTATCTCTTTCTGGTCAGTATCACTATCATCATTCACTTCCCTGGTGCATGGAAATCTTGCCACTGCATGTTGCTTGCCTGCAACCAGCCAGGATGCCAAAGAGCTAGTACCACAGAGAGGGGGAGACTGCACCAAGCTTGCCTCTGGAATGGATACTGGACTGGCCAGCTGTAGGCAATCACGGTTGAGTCGTCGGCCAAGTGATTTTTTTACTAGCTTTCCTCCTTCTAACTGTAGGGACTCTAGTTCTGACACCTGAAGCTGCCGTGCAGCTGCAAGAATATCCTGGGCTTCCTCCCGGGACACCTCCATCTCAGATGTATAGAGGAAATCTACCAGCTTACGCAGGGTACCAATCTTCAGCCCCCGGATCTCCAATACCACCTTATGCCCCTTGGGGGGCATTTCTCGCTCCAAACGCTCTGTGAAGAAGGGGCTGCAGGCTGACAGGATGCAACAGTGAGCTGGAATGGCTTCCCCTGCAAAGAACATCATCATTAGCAGGCTCTGGTCATGGAGAATTTTAGAATTTTAGGCCCTGAAAACCTGTCTTGAAAGAAGATGCTCCCCATGGACTGATCTTGAAGCACTCCAGCCCACATTACACAATTCCTCTGGGACTCCAAGTGGTATCTCAGAAACTTATTTTATAGCAGCATTGCTTAGACTTCTCTGTATACATATGGTAGCCTGAGGCAACTTAGTTTTATAAACCTTCTGTGCAACAGCTCACTTTAAATTGTTATATATGCATCCAGAAATACTGTTGAAGATGCTATAAATTAAAAGACTAGTTGCTGGCAGGGAGGTGCTTTAGGTCACCCTGTTCTGCAAGTTTTGAGGAGAAATTGCTGCTAACAAAGGCAATCTACTAGATAGGATGGGCCATACATTTTTCTAAGTATGTGCATATGCATGCACAACTCTCTTCAATGCTAATATGCTCATTTGTTTCAAAGGGGGGCTTGCACAGAAGAAAGTCTTAGTGAATTTTACAAACTGATAGTAGTTACCTAACATGCAAGAGCCATCTATACAGTCTATCTACAACAGGTGGGCTAAATGTATAGGATCCTTGGAAAAGATCTAGTCAAACTTAAGAACTGAAAAGACCTCTCAGATTCCAATGGAAGATTTCAGTGCAAAGGGAGAATTAGGTACATACTTCAATCTCTTCAAATGAAAACCAACAGGATACCAAAGTGAAATTAATTTCTCCTGCATTGTGGTCCCTTTTCTCTATTACATATTTCCATATAATGTCCATGAAAACATCAGCCTTCCATAGGACTTGATGTTTAAAGCATGAGATTCCACAGCGTGTTCCCACACAGAAGAATAACCCTTTGCTTTGCGAGCTCCGCTCCATTTATAAGGCTCATTTGCAAGAATTCAGTGGTTAGGGCATTCTGCTTATGTGAAGACACTTATTACTTCAAATGTCAAGACCAGCACAGCACCAAAAACGAGTTCTGGGAGATTAGACATTCGTCCATCACATTCTACATAAACCCACCACTGCTCCTGCCACACCAGCCATATGAATTAGAGGCTTCCTTGGTTAACTGGGCAGCCAATGTTACAGTCAGGACTAGAAAAATGCTTGGAATTTTTCAGACCTATCATCAGATTTCTAGGTATCAGCCTCTGGGAGCTGAAAAAATATTCTTTGATTATGGCTAGCGAAACAGAATTTCTAAGCATCCAAGTCATCTGGTTGCTTGATTTTTTTTCCAATCTGGCAGAAGTCAAAGCACCCTTATCCTAGTCTGCCCCAGTTTCAAAGTGATTACCTTCTGCTTGCAGGACAACATCACAAAATAAGTCTGCTCTCTGTTGGCGATGAAGCTGTAAGAAGACCATACGGAGCAGGCGGGAATTCCGATAAAGAATTTTGGGATTTGCAGGAGGGCTCATGGCAGCAGAACCTCCCTTCCTTTGTCAGGTGTCAGTTTTCTGTGAAGGAAACAGTCCAGCTTTCTATTAGTGCTGTTCTTCACTTATGCAAGTGTATTCAGAATTAAATTCTACTTAGTTCAATGGGATCTACTCCCAACTAGAAGTGCTCTATACTCTGAATTTAGTCCCCAACCAGCAGCTTAGGGACAAGACAGGTCTTTGTAAGCTTTTATTTAGGCTACATTATAAAACTCTGCTCAGAACTCAACCTGCAATACTCCCTTCATCACACCTTCAAAGAGTGTTATTTTAGTTTTACCTCAATGTATGTATTTTGGATGAGGTTTTTTTTCCTGAAGCACCTAAATGACCCAGAATGAAATATCAGAAATTATGAACTGTCAGCCATGCCTGTATTTTTCAGAATTGCAATACAAAGTTGCAAAGTTGCTCAAGTGATACCTCAAAATATTTTAATAAACCATTCTGAGGCACAAGAACTCAAAACATCCCAGCTTCAATCGGGAACACAAAAACAACCCCCCACAACAAAACCTTAGGAAAACAGCTTAATTAAAAAAAATAATTTAATTTTCAGCCAAGAAGATACTATTAAGGTCACAAGACCCAAATCTATTGTGTGTTTAACAATAAGGTCTGTAAAATGTCTTTACTCCCTTCAAAGATTCACAGCACTGTAAAATGTTAAAGACATTCCTTATTGTCTTTAACACCACCATAGCATCTTTCAGGGCACATACTGCAGTTAGCAGTGTATGCCTTACGGGGGGAGGGATTTGGCGGGGGGGATTATCAGAAGTCTACATCAAAGATGTAACATTTCCAGAAATTATGAAGCCATGGAAAACACTTTTTCTTGGGGTAGGTATGGGGAAAAAATTGAAACTTCAAGCAAAACAGGAAAAATACCTATTTTATGGGGGCTCTTTACTTTAAGTCACTTTAAACAGCTTCCCCAACATGGTGCCCTCCAGATGTTTCAGAATTTAGTTCCTATTAGCCACAGGCTTCATGGTTAATGGCCAGGGATGCTGGAAGTAATAGTCTAAAACTTCTGGTGAACAACAGGGAAGGCTGCTTTGGAAACATATTGTGTATAATTTATAAAATGATCTCTAATGTCAAAATGTAAATTTATAATGATTCTCAATAATCTTTACTCTTATTATACCAAACATACTTGTATCAGTAAAGCAAGTTATACATCATATATTTCAGGTGTGTTTTATGTCTTTCCAAGTACTCCCTTAAACATCTGAAGCATCCTAGAGGACATTGGAAAAACGGGCAGAGGATGAGTGGCATACAGCCATTTGTTCCTGTTTATAAAGAAGTCTAGATTTCCTAAGCCTATTCCTTTTGGTGAGGTATAGTTTAGGGAAATCAGATGTGAAGGAAAAGCTACTGAAATTGTATTTAGCTGGGAAAGCCTCCTGCCCTTATTAGCAGTGGTAAGCAACCATGTTTAAGAAACTTAATGCTGTCTCATTATTTGAAGAATGCACTTCTATTCAATTTTGTAAGTCATTTCTGCTAATGATCATCTTTGCTTTTGTTCATTTTGAAGTGGTTCTCTAGTGGTAGTACCAATTCCATGCCAAAACCACAGGAAACAAGTGACTGAATTTCTTTTAGATAGAATTTATTGTAGTAGCAGCCACTGAAAGGTTTTGTAGCTGAGGAGGCATTCCTTAGTAGTAAGAGCTAATTAAGAATATATTATTTATTTATTTAGTTCCATTTCTATGCCCCACACTCCACAACCCAAAGGTTCTCTGGGCAGCTTACACATGCTAAAACAGCATAAAACATACATAGCATTATTAACCCACTGTGGCAGTCAGTTCTAGAGACTCAAGCCTCACAGCTATTTTTTAAGATAAAGAAATACAAGTGGGATAACCCAAATGTTGTTCTGTCACATATGATCCCAGTGGTAGGGTGGCCTACAGCATTTATTTTATATGTAAGTTTTTAGATTAGAACTACAAAGACATCCACAGCATCTGAACAGAATAAGCCAAGAAACACAGGTCTCTATAGGAAAAAAGGCAAACTATAAAAAAGGCACATTTTTCTATATAATGACACATACTTATTAGAAAACTGAGTGTGACATGATCCAGGGCATCCTTTAATGTCTATCAATATAAGATACCATTGATCAATAATTTAAACATGAGCAGAAGAAATAACTGGGCTGGGAATCTCACAGAGGCAACAAACATGTATTTTTCCAAAAATCTTTATTTTTTCACCCTGCCTTCTTTTCGCAAGGCTATATAGAAAACTTTGCTTGTTTAGAAACTATTTCAAAGACATAATCCTAATTATTACTGTGCTTACAGTGGCAAGAAAACAGTAATTGCAACTTCTGGAAAAATACAATCAAATTGGAAGTGCAGAAAAGAACTATAAGAACAACCCAAGTGAATCACCTGTAATACTAAACAAGCTTAGCTTAGCCACAAGTCAACCTACTCTCAAAGAGCATAAATTTATAAGAGCGGTAAAGAAGGGATGAAACCATTCTTTTATGCTCCAGAAAAGGCACAACTGAAGATGGTATGTATCTCAACTAAAAATTAGGAAAGGGTTTCTGACAAATTATTCACATGACAGATTTCTGTACAGTCTCCCTGTGACCATCCTGTTTGCAAGAAACCAGAGCAATTTCCTGAGTGATACAGTGATATAATAGAGTGGCATCAAGAGCCTAGTATAAACCTGGTGCTTCAGCCATCAGAAATTCTTCCTTAACTCAACAAAAGGAAATGTAGCACCTCCGGTGAAGTGCTCGCTCGCTCGCTCGCTCTCTCTCTCTGAATGTCTTATGTTACTGCCATTCCACAGATTGTGCTTATGGACTGATAATTCACAATTTTCATACACACACACACTAATTAAATGCCAGCTGCTTGTCAGCCCTGATCTTTCTGAAACAACCTGAATTAAAATCCTGATAGGTATTTAGATAGTATGAAAAAGCATATTCAATTATCAGCTATAAAAGTTAGAGTTACAACCAACTTTGCTTGCTTGCTAAGAATTAGTTACAGGTCCCCCCACCACTGCATTTTTCCTCAGTAGGTGGTGGTCATGGGATCTTACTGGCCTTGATCCAATATTAAATCCTAATAGAAGAAAGATGAGTAATAAGAGGTGGTAGATTCTGTGCATATAACCAGGATTTAGAAGTCTGGCTTGTTAGAAAAATGTCTAGTTTAATTTTTCTGACCGGAGTTTCTGTTGGTTAGGAACTAAGACCCACCCAGCTGGCTCAAACCAATGAATGGGCCATGCAGTCTAACATCTTTATTCCAACAATGGCCAACCAGATGCTCCTGAAAAACTAGTACATCTCTCTTTCTGTTGATTCCAGCTTAAGTAACTGGTATTCAGTGGCATACCTTGGAGGCTGGATATAGGTGAAGAACATATGACCAAACATATATATATAGTGACCAAACAGCAAGAGTCAATTACTTGTTTTTGTTCTCAACAAAGCCTTCATGACTATCATTTAAAACGGGGCTGCAAAACCTCTGGCCCATGCTGCACTGCATCTTATCCAGGCAACCTTTGAGGGCCCCTCCTAAGAGTAGGTGGTGCTTAGCTCCAAATGTTGCTCCTACCCTCCCAAACTTAAGTCTTCTCTGACCTCCATTTAAAGCTATCTATGTTACAACTATCACCTTCTTTTATGGCAGCAAGTTATTTATATAACTGCATGTCACTGGAAATAGTACTTCCTTTAGTTTGTTCCAAACCTCCTGCTAATCAGTTTTATTCATGACCCACCCAGTTGTGGTATTAGGAGGGAGGAAAAACCTCTCCATCTATTTTCTCCACACATAATTTTATAGATCCCTTTCACAAACTCCACCCATCACCTTCTCTGCCCACTACAACACTGCAACCTTTCTTCATTGAGAACATGCTTGGGTTTTTTTTCTGCAACTCCTCCAACTTTATAACATCTTTCCAAAAACTTTGCTGCCACCCCCTAACTTTTCTAGTGCTATGATGTATTGCTGATCTTTAGTTTTTGGCAACCTGCAATCACATACAGCAGGCAGTATAAGTATTTCCAGATGGAAGAGTTTTAAGTACAGAATACAAACTGGATCAGCATGCCACCACTCCCTGTAAGACCACACCTGTTCTGCACTAATGAAAAACACCTACTTCTTCACTAAATGGGTTTACACAGTCCACAAATTTGCATCAGAAGTGTGGCTCAAGTCTACCTTGGTTCCTATACCAATTATAAGAACAAAGGAGATCTCCTGATGAGTGTTAAGCAGCAGCAAAGCCACTTTAAGGCTATATTCTCATACAGGAGTAAGCCCCATTGAAATCAGACATGCTGAAGACTCTACAGTATGCTATTTTGAATAAACAGCCTAAAACATCGTTCTAGATAGAGTCTTAAACAACCTCATCAGGCAAAATTCAGTATTTTTATCACTGTGTTTCTGCACCAAAGTTAAGGCAGCAGCTCAAGTGATGGACGGATGTTTTCCCACTACTACAACCAAGATACAAGGCAAATCACCAACAGAGAGGAAACTACATAGCTCAAACTATACTTAAGGAACTTCATCCAGATACTGCAGAGGACAACTGTTAAAATTTTAATATCATTTTATTCCCAAATTGGTAATGCCCAGCTTTGACTGTAATCCAGCAATTTTAACAGCATTTTGTTTAACCAAATTTTATTGGGGCGGGGAGAGGATATATATTCCTTTTTTCCACCACATCAGGCCTTCAGCGGGCTTAACCCAACTTTAAAAAAACCAGGTATCTGTAGGAACGGCACAAACAGACGAAACAAAACTCAGTATATTCTAAAAACTGTTTGAGCTGCTTCGAATATCCGGTAACAGGCAAAAGAGCAGCAAAGATTGTGCTCAAGTAACGATTTAACATTTATTTAAAATAATTAAATTTTTAAAAGGTGAGCTATTGACTTGATGGTTTACAGGTACTGA